CGGCGAGCCGGCCCGAGCACGCACTCGCGGAGGCCCGCGGAGATTTTGTGGGTCCGCGCAGGCGCCGCCCCAGGGGAAGGCGAGCATGCTGTGTTTTTTTGTTGTCCGGGTCCACCTGTTCGGTGTGCGGCCGACCGGCCAAAGACGAAGCTCGGCGGCCCAGAGCATATCAAGCAACGACAGTGCGGAGCGGAGCCGAAGCGAAGTCGGCGCGAAGGAGAACCCCGAACCGGGGGTAACAATGACCCCCAAGCTCGGCTGCACGTGTGAGCGCCGGAGTGACCTTTGGTGCTGGCCCATTGGGGTCCCCCGATCGCCGAACGCGATGCGGTAGTGGCGTCTTGGGCGCTTGCGTTTGGTCCCCGCGCGGCCCTGCAAAAGCCGCGCACCAAAGGTCACTCTTTCCCAGGGTCACTCCTGCGTGTAGCCGACAATCGGAAGGGCGCGTCGATCGTAGAGAGACACAAAATGAAAACCCGCCCGCCCCCCCTCGGTTGCAGCATCATCTGAGGCCCAGCGCCGACCCAGGAAGTCCGCGCGGAGCTCCGAGAGCTCGTGGTCGTGCGACCTCTCTTCCTCCGGGGCATCGGCTGCAGAATCGCTCTGCCCCAGACTTGCCCGTCCCCTATCGAGCCTGCGACGCACGCGTGGCTGCTGCGCAGATCTGCTGAGGAGTCTGCCGGTGACGTGGACGCGGAGTGCCACTCCGCGGCAGCGGCCCCCTCGGCGCCTCTGGGGCCAGGCGCGGCCGCCGGCGCTGCGCTGGGCGCCGCCGCCGGCGGTGCGCCGGGCGTTGCCGCGGGCGGAGCACCAAGCGCCGCGGCCGCGGGCGGTGCCGCGCTGGGCGCGGCAGCGGCAGCGCGCAGCGGGCGCGGCTGTTGGGAGCCACTGCGACCACCTCGCCGCGGCCGCCTGTGGCGCCGGCCCGCCGCCTTTTTGGCGCCACTCCGCGAGCCGCGCCGCCGCCGCCGCGGCGGGGAGGGGGGCCGCCCTGCGGCGGCTGGCCTCAAGTCGGGCATGTCCCACTACAGGAGGAGTATTCAAAAGTAGTTGAAGCATAGTCTGGGGATGATGTTTCCACCACTCTTTGAATCTTTTTGAATCTGTTTTGCTGTTTTGTTCTTCGTCCAAGAACCGCCTGTTTGAGGACACGCCCGACCTGAGGCTGGCCGAGAGACCGCGACCAGATACATGTCGATGACCTTGAAAAGTTTGGATTCAACGCCATTGTGCAACACGAGGATTCTGCTGATGGGAGCTACAAGCCTCAAATGGTCGTCACACGGTCCAGGGCATCGGTTTCTCGGCTGCATTCAAATGCGACGACAGAGACTGTGAGAATGACTGCCGTACGCTCCGGTGTCCAATCGGGCTCGAATGGGACAGACAGTGGGGTGATGCATGCAGCAGAGCCGGTCTGAGCATCACTACTTGGATGCGCACCTCCATGTGTCAGGGGCTGGCCCGACGACAGCACCCACCTTCGTTGCCGGAGCCTGCGGGAAGGCGCAGCTCAGGAGGTTTGCCAAGAGGTAGCCCCGAGGCAGGAACTCTCTGCCTATAAGCATCCGCTGGCCAATTCTCTTCAATCAATTATCTCCAAACCTGCGAAGCCTGCGTGCAGACGAAGTTGCTACACGGATTGCACGCGGCGTGGCTCCGGAAATACGAATTGGCCAAACTCGGCAGTTTCCACGTGTGGTGTCTGCGGAACGTGTTAGGGATACCGTAGTCGTACACTAGTCGCATCTCTAACGCAGTAGCTCTGGAAAGGGCCCGCCGGCCGCTCTTGAGTCGCATGCTCTTGCACCGTCAACAAGTATGTCTTTTTGCGCAGATCGCCCGGCACCCGGATGAGCATCCGGTGCGGCGTGCGGTCTTCCAGCCGTCCTCTTCGGAACTGCTCCCGCCGGCCTGCAGACGCCCCCAGGGCAGGCCGAAGCAGTTATGGCCGAACGAGTTGTATAAGTATGTGAAGAGAGTCTGCGAGAGCAATGCGTATGTTTTTCGACACCTCGCGACAGCTCGCGGCAATTCCAGCAAGGCTGGTTAAGGCCTGGCATCTTCTGGCACGCGGAACGCTTTGGGCGTGTCGAGTTTCACAGCCAGTGCCATAGAACGCGGCTGAGCAAGGAGAGAGCTCGCGTCGGCCCGATCGGAGACCCCGTTCGAACGCCTGCGTCGCATTGGTAAACAAAACAAGGCTGGCCGAGAGCCCGCGGTGGGCCGAGCGGGCGCCGAAGGCTCTGGCAGCGAGGGCCGAGGCACGCCGCGACGGGCGCGCCGCCCGAGCAGCGCGCGCCCTCGCCCCCGCCGCCGCGGAGCTGCCGGACGGGGCGCGATCTGCCGGAGGAGGCCGTCGACGGAGGGGGGCGCCGCCCAGGCCGATCCCCAAGGGCTTGACGACGTTTCGCCGATCGACTTGTGGGGATCGGGCCAGATTGATCGAGGCAAGCGCAGATGAAGTGAGGCAAATCCAGGTCGATCCAGAGATCCCAAGGGGAAGTTCGAGCAAATCGCGACAGCTCCAGCGCGAGTCGAGGGGCGTCAGAAGTCGTCAAGCCCTTGACGAGCCGATGGAGGACGCCGTCAGAACCCCCTGGCGTCGTGACGTAAGAAGAAGACGTTTCGCTATGTTCGGGTTCTGGGGGGCCCTCGCTGGGCCTCGGGACAGTCAACGAGAGCGACTCGGGGGCGTCGCCACGACTTCGGGTCCGCCGTTTTTTTCGGGGGGGGGTGGAGCGATCTCGCAGGTGGGGCGGAAATGTCCGCGCGACTCTCCAAGCTCCCTCGATGCCGATTTCCGCCCTACTTTGCCGTCGCTGTTTCCGCCCTACCTTTGCCTAAAAGACAGCCCCCATGCTTTTGCCCTACGTATTCTGAGGCGGGACAGTCCGCCCTTCGTCTTCGCATCGCTCGGGGTGTAGAAGTGAGACAGGGATGAGTTGGAGAATCAACCAGAGCACGGCGGTTCCGAAGTCGGGGATGGAGGACGCCACCCGGAGAGCCTCGGAGAGGCTGCTGCGCGCGCGCTGCCCCAGACCTCTGGCGCAGTGACCTCGACGGTGCGGCCTCCTCTACACGGGGCCGGAGGAGCAGAGAGGGTCGGAGAATCGCGCTGCATCGCCGACGCATCGGCGATGCGGCGCGACGTGGAACCCGATCCTCTCCACGCCGACGTCGCCGATGCATCCCCGACGTCGCCGATGCATCGGTGATCCTCCGTTCCCAGACCCCCGACGTCGTGATTTGTTTCACAGCGTCGACCCCCTGGAGGTCTGGACCCCTTCCCCGGGACCGGTTTCTAATCCCGAGTCGTTTTTTGACGGCCCCGAGGCCCGGCAAGGGCCCCCAGAGGCCGAAAATAGCGAAAAACCTCCCATCGCGATTTCTTCACAGCGCAGGGGGGTTTGGGTTCTTCAATCCCCTCTAGATCCCATCGGCCAGGCCTGGACCCCCGTGCAGCGGAGTCAGGGGCTGGCTCGAGGCAGGCTTGCAGTCAACCCGCCTAGTAAGGATGGGTAACCTTCCCAAGGGTATACCCATGCATCCTTGCCTCCTCGGTGCATCCTTGGCCACTTGTGTTGGCCGCGCCCCGCCCAAAAAGCTTCGAGGTCGCCTTCCGAGGCCCTCGAGTCCTTCTCGCGCGTCCTTGTTAGACGGGTCGACTGTCAGATAATGACGCTCCCATCTACTCAGACCCCATTTGGGAGGCCTCGAAAGGAACGGCATGCACACATTAATTCTCGGAGCTCCGCGCGGATGTCTTGGGCTTGCATTGGGCCCCGCTGGGGGCGCCGAGCTGGCACCGCCCTCGGCGCTCTCCGCGCGCATGGGAGCCTCCAAGAGGCCCAAGGAGGTCCCCAAGATGCCCCCAAGAGGCTCCCAGGAAGCTCCCAGGAGGCCCCAAGAGTGCCCCAAGAGGCTCCCAAGATGCCCCCTCCTCCTCCTCCTCTTCCTCCTCCTCCTCCTCATCCTCCTCTTCCTCCTCCTCCTCCTCCTCCTCCTCCTCCTCCTCCTCCTCCTCCTCCTCATCATCATCATCATCATCATCATCATCATCATCATCATCATCATCCTGGTCCCTCATCCCCCCTCCCTCCTCCCTCCTCCCTCCTCCTCCTCCTCATTCTCCTCCTCCTCCTCCTCCAGTTCCAGCGCCGAGCCAACAAATCCAAGTGGACCTCCGAAAGTTTATAGTTGATTCTGCGTTTGTTGGTCTTCTTCAAATGATGTTGCCAGTGCGCGGCCCCACGGCCACCCGACCCCGTCCTGGGTGGAACGGTTTACTAGCCCTGGTCGTTTTCTGCTGCTCCTGGGCCCGCGACGAGGAGGTCCCCGCTGTTGAAGGAGTTCGTGAGCAATGCACATGTCCATTTCCACGGGGTCGCTGGTCGACCGCTCCAGAGCTTCTGCGCCAAAAGGAAAGGAGAGGGAAATAGGATCTGGGTTCTTGTAGGTGGAGGGGGATGGAGAGAACATCGGGAATACCAGTACATTGCCCACACACAGAAAGCATCACTGTCGTAGCGCAACTGCAGCTAATACACATCCTTTGCAAGAGTACAGCGCGTCGAAAGCATAGACCACCCCCTCGCCATTGTCCAGAGTGTAGGATACTACGCATCCTCTGTAAGTCATTGCCCCCCCCCCCTCCCCATGCAATAGACCCCCACCCCCTCCCCATGTAATACGCAGCCCCGATGCAGTGCATCGAAAGGCCACCCTGCCTGGGGTCACTCTTGCCCAGGGCCACGATTACGTGTAACCGATTGCTGCCCAAACCCAGAGAAGTCTCAGGCGAGAGAGCCCCGTTTCGAACGGGAACCGCCCTCCATCCGTATATTTGTCGTGGAACTGTCACGGGGTACCTCTTAGGCGTATCGCTTGTCCCAGAGAGTACTGCTTTATAACCACCGTTGTCGTCCTTAGCTGTTTTGGCTCATCGCGCTGTCCAGCCCTTGATGGAATTTTCCAACGCACACGTGCTCACCCAGGCCATGTGGGCGTCGAACATGTTCGCATGCAAGACGTCTGATCCAGATATTGTCCAGTACGTTGTGGAACTCCCGAAGGTGACGCCCAGCACAGACACGCAGGTCGCGTCCAAGAGGGTTCGCGCCCTGCACTGCATCCAGAGGGTGATCGACGCCATGTTCAGGGACCCGAGTCTCGGCGATCAGTTGTGGAGATTCATCGACGCCAGGCTGGTGGAGAGGGCCCCAACCCCGAGCGTGCAGCCCATTTCCAACTTGTACGCTACGGTCGTGAAGTTGCTTCCTTCGGGCGCTTGGGTGTCGAGGTCAAGGTTTCCTGCGAACTGTCCCTGCCGAGCCCTCCCACGAAGCTCATGCTGGAGAAGACCCACGACAGGGACGGCATGGCCATCAACGACATGTTCGGCCAGCATTTCCAGGTCAACGGCCCCGACAAGATCCCGTCGGGAACGCCAGTCAACGTGCTGATCCAGGCCATGCGGCAGAGGGCGATCGACGTCGGCTGTCGGCGGGAGCCCCTCTTCGAGAGAGCAGTCAACGATGATGGCCTTGTCGGTTGGGGTGTGGCTCCTCTGTTCACCTTCGAGTGTGAGTATAATCGCCTCGCACGGGTGACTCACGTGCCCTCTGGTGACGTCGCGCACGTGCCCGCCGATGGCGAATGCACTATTAACTTCGACCTCCAGGTCTACAGCTGGGACGCCGTTGCGAAGTTCACCCGCAAGAACTCTCTGCTCATCGGGAAGGACTGGTTCCCAGCCATGCGCGGCCCAAACGCCTGGGCCCTCGACCAGAAGGGCGAGATGCTCACCCCCCTTATCGCGGCCATCAAGTCGGCGTTCGAGCGGAGGTTTCTCGACTTGCACATGCTGGTGGGCCGCCCTGAGGACGCCGGGCTGTAGGGTCGCTCGAAGCAATTTCGCGACCGAGCTCTTGGGTCGGCGAGGGCTGCCATCGCGAGCAGGCCGAGGCAGGCGAGGCGCTTGGAGTTCCGCCCGCAGCAGCAGGCGCTGCGCCACCCGCCGAGGAGTCTGACGCTGAGGAGCAGGCCTCGCGCGAAGTTGGCTTTCGTTGATTGCGGGCCTATGCCTTTGCAGCTGGCCTCTCGGAGCCCGCTTTCATTTTCCATGGCGCAGCGTGCTTGTTCCGCGGTGAACTGCTCCGACTAGGGTGGCGCAGTGCGCCCTCGGTATCTTGTCGGCGGCGCCTCGCGGGCTGCCGTGGCTGAGCGCGGTCGAAAGGCGCGAGATGCAGATATGTGATCACTCGCATTCACAGTGCACATATCGCCGCATCGTCGCGTGCGCCGCTATTTCACAAGTTGCGCGCGTCGTGCGCTACGCGCGCTCGTGGAGCGATCTCGCCGCTAGTTCTTGACCCTGGCCTGGCGCGATGTCCAAGTCGATCTGTGTAGCCATGTTTTGTCATGTAGCAGTTGTTGCGCATAGAACCGCGGGGCCCGACTAGGGGTCTTCGAGCGGCACTCTCGAGGGCGGGGCCTTTATTGGCACCGGGCGCTGCGATAGGACAGATGAAAAACATGGGGAAACTGCGCCTCGAGTTGAATTTCGTTTGCATTCGCGCATTTCGAGATCGTGCTCTCGCCTCCTCTTGGAGATGGGCCGCGCCGTCGGCGTGCTCATCGCCCGTCCGCGTCGTCCGTTTTAGTCTCCACTTTGATAGCGGGTCCGATCTTTGCGACGCTCCCAGTGCGCTCTGGCTGGGCGGTAGTTTGTCGCTTGTTTCGGGGCTCGCCGAGCGCGCGGAATCGCAGGCGGTAGACGGTCGCGATGGCGAGGGGGAAGAGGAGGAGGAGGAGGAGGAGGAGGAGGAGGAGGAGGAGGCCGGGGGGACAAGTGAGACACTTGAGCTTTTAGGCGAGGGGGCGGGCGAGGCCGCGAAGAACGCGGCAGGTGCCGAAAGCGCCCCCCCTTAGACGGAGCGCGCCCTTCGTCGCCCCTGCCGGTGATGGTCTTCGTCGCCCGCCTTCTTGCCCATCGTGTTTAGCGCGCCAACCCCCCTCGCGCTCGGCGCCCGATGAGGGAGTTTCTGCGCCGCCGGTCCTGCGCGCGCGTTCGAGCGCCAGCCGCGGGCTCGGAGCGGAGATGGCGCCGCCGCCCCCGACTCAAACAACGCAGTTCGTGGGCGAGTTTTGGGGGGGCGCCTGCGCCGGCAAGGCGCGTGAAATCGCGGATGGCGAGACGAGGGGGGGGGGGGGGGGCGGCGAGGGCGGGGGGGGGGCGGGCCCGCGGCCGTTTTGGCCAGAACACTTTCTTGTGTCAACCAGAAACGCGCCCTCGCGCACCAGTGTGGGATTGGCCGTTGAGTAGATGCCGCCTCTATCTGTCGACCAGCCGGCCCACTGCTTCAGGCGCAGTCAGGGAAGAGGTCCTTCGCGAGACGAGCAGTTGAGAACCGCGTGCTTGCTGGCATGGCACTCGCTGTCAGGGGGGTCGCTCCGGCTGCGCGTAGCGCCCAGGGCGGCGACGCCCCGCCCCAGATGAGCATTGGGGCCGACCCCTCGGGCGGCCATGCTCCAGCGGTTGCTGCTGCGGGCGCTGCGTCGCATGATGCTCCAGGCGACTTGCGCCCTGAGCCCGCCGGCGGCTGCCCGACGCCGCCTGGGCCGCCACTTCCAGCGGATGATGGAGACGCTGTTCCACCGATTGAGCCAGCTCCAGCGCGCGTGGAAGATGCGCCTGCAGCCGACCCCGCCCGCGGTCGTCGACCTCCGCGCCAAGTTCGCAGCGGGGGAGCCGACGGCGACGTTGCGCTACGGCGCGGTGGGCAACGTGCACCAGATGACTGACGTTTCCACGGCCGAGAGTCGAGCTGCCCGCGACCGATGCAGAGTGGTTCTTGGGCGTGATCGACGGCAGCGCTGTAGTGATCGAGCCATCCGAACGCGGCGATGCGAAAGTCCTATTTGTCGGCGGCCTCCTGACTTATATATATATATATATGTATATATATATATATATACATATATATATGTATATATATAGCGTCGACAGTGGCAAACGAGCGGTCAAGATCACCGATCCCCAGCAGAACGCGTCGAACCACACGTGGTGGCATGAGTACTTGCACGAGCACGTCAAGAAAGAGCTCGAACTTCCGGTGGAGGTTGGCGGCGCGACGGATCTTCTCATTCTGGTTGCGTTTACGATTCCTCGAGATGTTTGCCGCGCGTAGTTGAAGGTGGCCGACGCAGTCAGGGTCGTTGGTGTTGCGCGGGCTAAGATGATCGGTACCTGCATATGCAAGAATGCCCCGCCCTGGAAGAAACCGCTCACGCAGCGCAAGATCGGCGGCCTCCTGAAGTCTTGCCCGAGGTCCAGGGAGGAGCTTGCCACTGAACAGTTTGGGGCGGATCTTTCTCCTTTGTGCGACAAACCGATAGCTGTTTCTGCATTGCTGCGCTTGCTGTCGGCCTGGGGGCTCGCAGCCAAGAACGAGCGTGGCCCCGCGGCTGGCAGCGAGAGAGAAGCTTACGTCAGGCTACTGCGTAGGCTCATCTCCAAGCGTCTCAGCGCGCAGTTCACCGCGCGTGCAGACCCCGACGCAGGGCGGACTCCGAAGGGCCTCTCTCGCGGGGGCGATGCTTTCATTTCCGTGCTTGATCCAGACAGCAACGTTGACATGTCAGACCTGATGGAAAGGGGCCGCGTGACGTCCACCACCCCATGCAGGGTTTGGATATGCGCGTTGCCCCAGTTCTCAGGCACGAGTCAACGCGCCGCGTCTTCCTTGAGGTATCTGGTCACGGATGGCGTCAGCAGCTTAAACAATCAGCCTTGCAGGATAGGCCAGGCTTCGCCGCGCCCGCCGCCCCGCCGCGTTCGTTTGCAGCGGCCCCGCCGCGATGCAGGGGGGGGGGGGGAACGACTTGGGACACTTGCGCGTTGATGCGTTTGGGGTGCATGAACTCCTCGCTATCTTTGTCTTCCCCACCGTGCAATATCTCTCATTGCCACCGCTTTCCTTCCTGCTTTTCAGTCGTCTCGCTTTCCGGTTCTACTTTGCGCAATCATGCTTTCCCAGGTCCTGCCCTTTGCCATTGTCATCTCTGGGCTGGGGAAGGCAACGCGTTTCGCGCGCGGGGATGCTCATTTGGTTTTGGCGGGGGCAGACATTCTGGCGCCTAGATCGCGTACCTGGGCATCGCCGCGCCCCGTCCACGAGCGGGGATGCAGCCGGCAGTCTTGACGACGCCGCCGAGGCACAGCTGACGCGCGACCAGAATATAGCACGGTATTTCCACGCGTGCCAGCAGCTGGCGCAGTGGACTCAATCTCGGTTCGCGAGCATGGCCCCACGATAAGTCTAGCGCCCAGACGCGTGAGATAATGAATTCCCCGATCAGTTTGGCCAACAACAATGCCTTCTACACTGCGCTGCAGGACCCCGCAGGGCGCAGGGCGCGGATGAGGGCAGGGGGGCGGCGACCTGGGAGGGGAGGGCGACGACGAAATGATGGGGGTCAGGCCGAGCGTCGCCGTCGCCGCCGCCGTCGTCGCCGCCGTCGTCGCCGTCGGCGCCGCCGCTGCCTTTGCCGCCCCACAGGACGTCGCCGACCACGTCGGCGAGCTGGGCATTGCGGAGGCGGGGGGGGGCCCGAGGCGCTCGCCGCGGCCAGGGGTGACCTCTACGAGCGGCAGCGCTCCGGGACGGTGAAGCGCCGCGCTGGCAGGCCCGCGCCGCCCCCTCGGGAGGCTCGTCGGGGAATGGGCTGCACGATGAAGCCGAATTCGCGCCGCGCGATCGGCGGCCGCGCAGCGGCGGGGGCTGGGCGAGACGGGGCCAGGGAGAGAACGGGGGGGGCGCGGCGTCTTGCCGAGGCTTCCGGATGTAGCGCTTTCCTTCCGGACGAGCCTGGCGGAGGTGACGTTTCTGTCTTTCCGGCCGAGTCGAGCTGGGGTCGAGGCGGCTCTGCGGGGCATTTTTCCGAGGCCGCCCAGGGCCGCGCCGATCTCGGACTGCCGCGGCGGGCAATGAGGCACCGTTAGCTTCGCAGGGCTCGCGCAGAACAGAACGCCGCATCCGGAAAGCCTCTCCAAGACAAGCGCGTTTCCCTGGTATCGGTGTCGTCGGCGATGGCGGTTACGATGGCATCGTCGGCCCGATGCCGCCGCGGGCGACTGACTGCAGGAAGGCCGCGTGGCAGTGGCGTGCGCGCGTGCGCCAGATGCTTGACGCGTTCGCATTGGACGGTTTGCCCCGCCTCCAGATCCCCCAGAAGATAGACCAGCGCGGCAGCGCTGTTGCCTGGAAGAGGATCATTGCGTCACCTGACATGGGTTCCGACGGCGCGCGTGCGCAGCCTACTTCTTGAACCGTCGCGGCGTGAACGTTGACATCAGATGGGGTACGAACCGCGGAGTGCACAATGGCATCAAAAAGCAGTTCGAGAGTGTTCGGCGAGGAATACACGTCGCTTGCACGCGCGAGGATCAACGCGCCTTGCAGCCCATGGGACGAGGGTGCTCGTTGGAAAAAGCTTAGCCGGGCCATTGCCGAGATGCAGAACCACGAGACTGCCGACCTGCCGTTGTTCACCATCTACATCTGAGATGCTCGATGTGGACGCGGGGAGGGCGCGCGGGAATGCGGGCGACCCGGCGCGGGCTCTCTGAGTTGCCACGCGACTCGAGAGCCCCGCGAAGACAAAGGGCATCAAGGCTGCGCCGCTGGAACAACGCCATCCAGCGACGGGGGGAGCACCTCAAGGATTTCAACCAGCGGAAGTTCTGGCACCTGCGCGCCCGCATTGAAGCTGGCCTCTTGGGGAGCGCTAAACTTGCGAGCACCATGGCCAGCGCGGTTTTAAGCGCGATGCCGAAGGAATGCGGGGCAGCGGCCGAACTGCATCGGAAAGGCTGTCCCAATCAGCTCGCCGCTG